TTCTATTCTATTCTATTCTATTCTATTCTATTCTATTCTATTCTATTCTAATAGCAGTAGCCCATCTGATCGCACCCCTTCAATTGAATACCCTGCATCCAGATGTGTCGTAAGGCAGCCATCCCTAACAAAAACCTGCCCTAAACATTTTTTTTAAAAAAGGAATGGTATTTTTGAATCCTATGCAATATAAAACACATGCCGTTCTCAAGTTTATTTTTAGTATCTGCAGTGGAAATTTAGTCCACAGCTGGGGAAAGGCAACTAAAAATCATGGTGCAAAGCCACTCATTTTTAGAAAGGTTTTGCAATCATTCTGTCGCCACCTCCTCTCTCTCTCTTTTTTTTCTTCCTTCTATAAAATCTGACCATCCCACTCAATTTCTCTGGTTATTGTGCCTTTGTTGACATATAATTCTAACATAGCAGAATGCAGCAGCCAAGGTTTTCCCCTGCCATAATTATACGAATCAGGAAAAAAACAGCCAGTGTCTAATGAAGGATAATTTCTCATATTATAGGCAGCTTAAAAATATCCTCTTCGTGAATAATTTTGTTTAATACAAGCCAGCGTAATGAAATGGTTGAACACCTGTCTCATGGCCTTCGTGGAGAACTTAATCAAATTCACGCAGACCCAAGGGAATAAAAATTACTTCAGTTCCCCAAAATTGTGGTCTATAAATTATTACTGGGTCATGGAAAGGTTGCCAGAGAATTTAGCATATTTTTGTTCACCTTTGTACCACTAGCAAACATTACAATTCAACTTCAGAAATGTGTGCTCCTAGAAACCAGCCGTGTGTTTTAAATTAGAAAAAAAGGAGGTCCGCGGTTAATAATTATGGCACTTAACTTGCCCAAAAAAGTGGAAGTTTTAAAAAAATGCAATTTAAGTGTTAAATAATCTGCTTTTAATCTCTTCTCTTTCAATTTTTAGATGGTTGCCGGAGGAAAGGGGGGGGAAAATCGCATAAAAATCCCAACTGTGCTGGGGATTTATTTCCATATTTCGTCGAAAATCACTGACCTCAAGCAACAGCAACCAGGCTGAAAGGAGCTCCAATATCACATCTGACTGTCCTAAATTTAGAGAAATGGAGTCATGCTTAAATCCCATTACAGAGAAAGCAAGCACACAGCCCATTCATTCCAATAGAAGGTAAACATACAACTAACCCTCATGGGATTTTACATCTTCCCAGGTCATCTTAAAAAAAAAAAGTTCAGAAATTGGAAAAGACTGGAAATTAATATGTTTGATTATATCCTGAGCATGTATACCGTCTTCTCAGATTTTCCAAGTGGCAGCTATTCAGATATCACCCAAACCAACATTTGTGATTCCATTTGTTGAGGAATCCATGGTTAAGTATAATGTTTATGGTGATTCTCAGTCATCCAGTTCATGATTGTCCCAATGTGCTTTATACTCAGTCTGTCCGTCCGTCCGTCCATCCATCCATCCATCCATCCATCCACCCATCCATCATTTGTCTATCATCTCTCTCTCTCATCTATCAGTCTGTCTATATCTATCATCTGTCTACCATCTCGTGGTGGTGAGCCAAGACGGCGCAGTGGTTAGAATGCAGTACTGCAGGCTAATTCTGCTGACGGCCGACTGCCAGCAGTTCGATCCTGACTGGCTCAAAGTTGACTCAGCCTTCCGTCCTTCCGAGGTTGATAAAATGAGGAGCCAGATTGTTGGGGCCAATAAGCTGACTCTGTAATCCTCTTAGAGAGGGCTGTAAAAGCACTGTGAAGTGGTATATAAGTCTAAGGGCTCTTGCTATGTATTCTCCAGCGTGGTTTGAGGCAATCTATTTTAAGAAGATATCTGCCAGCTGCCAATTTGGGCTTTGAACTGACGGAGTGCTATCTTTTTTAATAGAAGTTTTAACCATGTTTTAATTAATTTGGCTCTTTGTGATTGTTAGCTTCTTTGAGCAGCCTTCTTTGATGGAAAGGTCGGTATAAACCCAGCAAAGCCATTAAAAGTTCAGATGTGCCTCAAAGCACGGATTGGCCTAAGAGAACCCGGAGCCTGTTATCTAATATTAAACCAGAACCAACTTTTGCAGGACCCCCTGCGAATCTCTGCTTTCCAGTTTGCAAACATCCAATAAAAACTTTCAAAAGAGGATTTTTCCCGTAACAGAGAGTTGGGGGACAGGGAAAATTTCGTTTTGTAAGTACATTTGGAAAAACAAAGACACCGACAGGCTTAGTATACATATTTAGTTAATCCTTGCTGGAAAAAATGACACAGTAATACTTTTAAGAAGCAATGCGGGTCTATATTGATTTTCACTGTTTCCCAAACAGAAATTAAGCCTTTTAATTCCTGCAGGAGCTCAGCAAACTGTCTGACTAGAAGACTCCAGCTGTGAATGCCAATAGAAAATTGTTTCTATAGCTTAAGCACTGGAAAAGGAATAAAAGGATTTTTTAAACTGCTTGTCAAAAGATTAAATTTCTTCCAATGAGAAAATGAGTTATTAAACTAATTTTATATTACTTTTTAAACAAGCATACTTCCTTCTTTCAGTCACCTAGTTATTCAACACTGCGCTCAGTACCACTTTAATTTGTTTCTAAATGAAAATAAACTTGGAGGAGGAGGGGAAAAAAGTCATTTTATTGGGGTACAGGGATAATTAAATGTTTGGAATGGGGGGGGGGGGGAATGATCCTGCATATTTGCTGAATTTGTATTCACCATTGTTTCTAATATTTACAACCCCTGAAATCACAAAAGGCTTCTCCTTATTCAGCAATAGATAAGGTTCATTATGGGATGTAGATGCTCCATCATTGGACGTTTTCAAGAAGGAACCAGACAGCTATTTGTCACCACGTCACTAAGTATGGCAGGCCCCAATTGGCAAAACAAAATTCAGGACTTTTTTGGTTGGAAATGTCTATGGAGATTCTCCAACATCCAAGTCATGGTTGTCCCCAAGGTGCTTTTTTCAAGAGGCAACTGGACGTTCTGGTTTTTCTTTGAAGATGTTTCGCTTCTCCTCCAAGAAGCTTCTTCAGCTCTGACTGGATGTCCTTCCATCCCTCACCATCCAGTCAGAGCTGAAGAAGCTTCTTGGAGGAGAAGCGAAACGCCTTCAAAGGAAAAATGAGAAAGTCCAGTTGCCTCTTGAAAAAAAACCCCACTTTTGGAACAGAAGTTGAGTTCCAAGAAGAGACAGCAAGACCCACAGTGATTGCTAGTTCACAGTAAAGCTATTATGGCTTGATTGGAAACATGCGGAAGAGGCCTTCACCCTGCAGTGGATAGACAATGGCTAAAATTGTCATGCCTCTGTCGGAACCTGACTTGGAGGGGGAGGCCGAGCAGCTGACAGGGAGTGTGGCTCCGTTGGCTGTGGAAGAAACTGAGGAAGGGCAAAGGCCGGCTGGGCAGAGCAGGGGAGAGGTAGAGCAAGGGAGAGGGAATTCGGAGGAAGACCCAAGCCCACCCCATCTTCACCCTAGGGCACACAGGGAGGAACAGAGAAGGGAGCAACGTTGGTTGCATGGCTTACGGGGGAGGAAAGGGCCCTTTCATTAGCCACAGTTGGGAACACAGTATATAAAAGAGGAAGCTGCGCACAGCCAAGTTGTTGGGAGCAAACGTGAATTTATCTTGTATCGTCGTGGCTTAACTATGTTCCTGGCATCTTCCCAACTGTGTGAGTTTTGCCATGCTTTCAAGTCTGGAATTCCTTCTCCTGCCCCATCAAACTAATTACTTTTGCTTGGTTTTTTTGGACTTTTAGTTACAGTTTGTATGTATCTTGTTTTGGACTGAATTTTCTACAGTTAAAGGCTGTTCCTAGGCCAGTTTTTCTCCAGCCAAAGGTAACCTGGAGCTTTGGGGCAAAGTTGGAGATAATAAAGGGACTCTTATTGCTTATTTGACTGCGTTGCCTTTGTGCCACGTCCTGGGTCATCACAAAAATGATAGGAGGAAGAAGGAAGGAGGAGAATCAACCCTCCTCCCACTTAGTCTCTCCAAACAAAAATGTATATAGGCAGTCCTCAAATAGCAACCACAATTGACCAGAATTTTGCGGTGTTTAAGTGAAGCGCACCTGATTTTATGACCTTTGTGTTGCGGTCATTAATTGTATCACACAGTGGTTGAGCCAATCCTGCTACCTCCATTGGCTTGGCTTGTTGGAAGCCGATGAAAGAGATTCCGTTCCTAGGAAGGGAGAGTCCCACTCACCGTCCATGGTTTGACCTTCTCTTTTCAACATCTGGACAGCCCCGACGTATTTCTTTAGCTGGACTTTGAGCACCTCATTCTCCCTGCAAGGTCAAGAACAGGAAGACGGGACAGTTATTTTTAATCCAGCCAGCCAAATTACCGTAGGCCAAGTTAGGCCAATCAATTCATCTGCCGCGTAATGATCTAGTGTTAGCGACTGAACGATCTCGTGCAAAGTGATCCTTTTGCCTTGCCCTTAGTCCTTGACTTACAACCTTTCTGTCAGTGTTCCAACCAAACCCTACGTCTTCCATTCAGTACCTCAGAGACAAAGTTCATCCAAGTAAGAATTTATTAGAGTTGTCATATTGGCACCTCTGGGAAAACCTGAATCTGAGGTTTTCCCTTCCCAAAAGAGAAATTCAAAAATCCATCCCCTGCACCCAACAGTCCATCACATGGGCCCTATCCAATCTTGTTCTTAACTGGAGCCATTCCTCCAGTCACTCCCCTCCAGGTGCAGAGCAACATGTCCTTGATTTTCTGAGAAAGAATGTTGTTGAGTCTAATCTTCTACCTCTCTATGAAATCCACCCTCCCAAATTCCCAGGCACTCGGAAATTGTATTCAGCAGGTTCTGACCAGTTCTGGAGAACCGGTAGTGGAAATTTTGAGTAGTTCAGAGAACCAGCAAATACCGCCTCTGGCTGGCCCTGCCAACCCCCATCTCTTCTCTGCCTCCCAAGTCCCAGCTGATTGGCTGGGTCTTCTTTGGTTGCCCTGCACAGGAGAACGGAGCTGGAAAGCAGGTTAGTGGGGTGAGGAGGGAATGAAGAGCCACACCCACCAAGCCACACCCACCAAGCCACACCATTCCCACCAAGTCCACCAAGGCACTGAATGTGGCAGCCTCGAAGCTTCCAAGGTAAAAAATGGCTTCCAAAGCTGACCCCTTCATTGAATAGTTCAGTGCTATTCAAAGTTACAATAGCCCTGGAAAAAAAACAAGACTTATGACCCTTTTTCACACTTACAACTGTTGCAGCACCCCTAGGGTCATGTAATCAAAATTCATATGCTCAGCAACTGGTTCCTATTTATGACGGTTTGCCGTGTCAAAGTCAATGGGGAAGCCGGATTTGCTTAACAACCGTTAGACTCACTTAACAACTCACTTAAACAACTGCAGCGATTCGCTTAACAAGGGCGGCCAGAAAGGATGCAAAACGGAGGGGGGGGGAAATCACTTAACAAATGTCTTGCTTAGCAACAGAAATTCTGGGCTCATCTGTGGTCATAAGTTGAGGTCCCCAAGGTTTAATCAGAGGTGCACGCTTACAAAACCATGGGACCTTTTGCATCAAAACAAGGATGATATCTCTAATTGCTAGGCCCCACTCCCCATCCTTCCACAGCTCCAGAGTTGCTAAACTCGTTCGTAATGTAGTCAAAGGTTTGGTTGCCACTGATAGAATTCAGGGGGTCGTTATGTCAACCACCAAGCATCCTGTCCTGGATCCTTTGACATATTTCCATCATTGCCCTTGCAGAGTGACGTAGATCAGAGCAACGCAATGAAAGGGGCAGGAGTAAAACTAAATCCAAAACTAAGAAAACGTTTCTTGCTTTTGTCGTTTAAACACGACTGATGGGGGGTGACCGCGTTGAATAAAATAGAATAGAATTCTTTTATTGGCCAAGTATGATTGGACACCCAAGGAATTTGTCTTCGGTGCATCAGCTCTCCGTGTGCATAAAAGCTGTAAGCGATGAATCATGATCGTTGTCATTATAAATACATTCATCATAAATCAAAAATCATAGAGACACAACACCTAGTGATAGGATACTAAATAAGCAATCAAAATCATACTAGGAAACTAAAACAAACAATACAAATTGTAAAGATACAAGCAACAGGGTTTGACAACCAAAGGGGACAATATTTTGAACTATCAGAACAAAGATGAATTTATTGAATAAATGGAATAACAGTATGTGATAAAATTGCAAAATAAAAGTAATGTGTGTAATGAATATAGAAATGAAATAAGAATTTTAAATAATATTGCAAAGTAAGATATAAGAATATTTTAAGAAAAATAAAATAAGTTAAGATATGAAGTGAAATTGGATAAAATAAGTTTAATGAATTTAATATTTGAGAATATTTAAAAGAAAATAGAATAAGTAATAATGTGATATGTAACTGAACAAGAAAGATGAATATGTAACTATGGTCATGTTTGTATTGAAATGTCAAAACCTGGAACCACTCTACTTTCCAAAAGAGATGTTATTTTTTTAAAAAAAATATAAAAACAAAAGAAATGGAATAATGAAATTATCATGCATGTTTAAACAATATGGTAATTGGCATTAGAAGAATGTACTGGAATATTGAATAATTAAATAATGAAGGATTATAGTTTAATTCAAATATGTGTATTAACATTAGAATTATATAAGTTTGATGAATGTAAGAGATATGATTAATGTTGTTATTTTTGTTTGCACCAAAATGTATGATGCTTCGGTGCCACACTGTTTATGCATTGATGTGTATATGCAGAATAAAAATAAAAAACTTGATTAAAAAAAAAAGCAACAAGGTTATAGTCGTAAGTGGAAAAGGAGGTAATAGGAAGGATGAGAAGAATCATGGTAATACAGTCTTAGCAGTTTGACAGTGTTGAGGGAATTAGTTGTTTAGCAGAGTGATGGCATGGGGGGGAAACTGTCCTTGTGTCTAGTTGTTCTGAGGTGCAATGCTCTATAAGGTCATTTTGAGGATAAAAGAGTTTTCCTTCGCAAATTGCCAACGGAATTGTCCCTTTCCTCTCTGAGGGACTCTGGAGGTTGCAGCTTCAGGTTTTTCCTAATCCTGGAGGTCTCGAAATTGGATCCCGCTGGGCGAGAGCCTGCCCACCGAATGGCTCCGTGCCAAGCAGAGAACGGCAGGTTTTGAAATATTGAATTCCACCAGGGTTTCCAGCAGCGGCAATTAAGGACATCCAAGAAATAAACAGCTTCGGCTTCTGCTAACGGTGAGCAGAATCAGCAGGCTTCGTCGGTGGGGCTGAGATTGTGCTTTTACAAATGTTTGTCAGTTAAAAAAATGGTGAAGGAATCTCTCCGCCTTGAGAGAGAAGGAAGGCTGTATGAAAGGGATGTTAGGAAACAGCCTGGTTCGGAGACTCCTAAGAATACAGGGAGGGAAATGGATTGAACAGCAGAATAACAGAGTTGGAAGGGACCTTGGAGGTCTTCCAGTCCAACCCCCTGCTGAAACAGGAAACCCTGTATCATTCCAGACAGCTGTCCAGTCCCTTCTTAAAAGCCTCCCGTGATGGAGAACCCACAACTTCTGAAGGCAAGTCATTCCACTGACTGATTGCCAGGAAATGTCATGAAAATTTGCCTTAGTCCTAGGTTGGTTCTATCCTTGATGAGTTTCCACCCACGACTTGTTGTTCTGCTTTCAGGTGATTTGGAGAATAGCTTGACTTCCTTTTTCTTTGAGGAAGCCCCTGAGATATTGGAACACTGCTATCATGTCACCCCTAGTCCTTCTTTTCATCAAACTAGACATACCCAGTTCCTGTCATCGTTCTTCATATGTTTTAGCCTCCAGTCCCCTAATCATCTTTGTTGCTCTTCTCTGCACTCTTTCCAGAGCCTCAACGTTTTTTACATATATATATATAATAGGGATATAAAACCAGATGCAATATCCCAAGGTTGGCCTTACCAAGGCATGATAAAGTGGCACTAACCCTTCTTAGGATCTCGATTCTATCCTTCTGTTAATCCAGGTTTTCTTTAAGTATTTCACGAGAAGAGTCCTACGCTCCTCTGCTCGTAACAGAATACCCTGTATCACCAGGCTTGAAATTTTGGGCTTGGACAATCCTGAACTACGCCGCATCCAGTTGGACTTCAGCGTAGTACATAAAATTATCTGCTAAAATGTCCTACCAGTCAATGACCACTTCAGCTTCAACTGCAGCAATACAAGAGCACACAACAGATGCAAACTCAAGGCAAACCGCTCCAAACTTGATTGCTGAAAGTACGACTTCAGCAACGGAGTGGTTAATGCCTGGAATGCACTTCCTGACTCTGTTGTTACATCCTCAAACCCCACTCCTTTTAACCTCAAACTAACCACTATTGACCTCACCCTATTCCTAAGAGGTCTGTAAGGGACGTGCATAAGTGCACAATCATGCCTACCGTCCCGGTCCTATTGTCCCCATTTATTCGTACCTATTTCCTGTATTCTTACTCATGTTTATACTTATACCTATTATCTTGTAAGTGATTGACAAATCAAATAAATAAATAAATCAATAAAGTTGCCAAGGCAGAGAGCTACTACCCAACGCCAACTGATTTTACATCAGGCCTTTTTCAACAACTTTGCAACAGCCTCTCTGGCAAAGGAATATACATTACATAACAATGAAATTTTAATGAAGCTCCTGAAGGCATTTTAAGCAGCGGATTGTACTGATCTCCTAGGAGCGGAGAGGCAGAAAACAGCATTGGGAGTTAGTTGGTGAGGGAGCATCGGGGCTAAAATAATCACTCCATGCCAAGAATCAAAGCACTTTGCTTACTGAAAACACTTTAGCCTTTAAAAAGTAGCTAGATAGGGCAAGGGTTATAAATTTGGTTCCTTGATTATCATTTGGGAATTCCATATAGCAATGGTAAAAATTTAGTGGTGTTTTATAAGTTGGGATCTTTGATTATACTGCAAGTCCTAGAGTTATGACCGCAATTGAACCCAGATATATGGGCATAAATCATTGTGGACATAAGTCAAGGCATCACATGACCAGATGCAATATTTTAGCTTTCTTTTTTTTTTTTTGCAGTGATCATTAAGTGAATCCAATTTACCAATGGGCTTTTTTCTTCTTCTGAAAATCGGAAGTAAACGCCAGAAACTGGGGGGAAAGAAAAGGGGGTTAAAATTGTAATCATGTGATGTGGGACGCTGAAAACAGCCATAAAGGTGAGTTGATCGCCAAGCACTCAAAATGCCATCAGATGACTAGAGGATGTGGCCGTCACACCTTTGAAATTGGGTTGCAATTAGCTGTTAGGGGAATCCATCGTAACTTTGAATGGTTGTTAACCAACTTTGAATGGTTACTAAACGAATGGTTGTAAGTTGAAGCACTACCTGTAGTACAATTTATTTTTCTTCCCGCTCTCCCCAGGATGCAGCAATCGGTCAAAATAACAGACTGGAATCATGAGCCACATTGGCGCACTGGCTAGAGTGCGGTACTGCAGGCTACTTCTGCTGACTGCCGGCTGACTGCAATTTTGCAGTTCGAATCTCACCAGGCTCAAGGTTGACTCAGCATTCCATCCTTCCGAGGTGGGTCAAATGAGGAGCCAGATTGTTGGGGAGCAAGAGGCTGGCTC